TGGGGTGACATTGAAAGTACGGTCGTAAATTTCTAGAGGCGCTTATTAGTGCAAGTGCCAATTTTTCTAGGTGCGGATATCTAGCTTCTACTTCTCCTAAGGTTCGACTTATATAATAAATGGAAAATTGCGTACCTTGCTCTTCCCGAACTAGGACACCGCTTACTGCGATTTCTGATACTGCTAAGTGTAAGAAAAGTTTTTCGTCTATTTTTGGAGTGTGAAGTAGTGATAGGCTCGACAGATATTGTTTTAGTTCCTTCAATGCCTGTTGGTATTCCGGGGTCCAAGCAAAATCGTTCTTCTTATTGAGCGGGGAGAAAAATTTGTGACTTCGATCTGATGATCTCGAAATGAATCGGCCTAAGGCCGCAATTCGTCCCATTAGCCTTTGTACAGCTTTTACGCTGTCCACGATGGTGATGTCTTCGATGGCCTTGATTTTATCGGGGTTAATCTCGATTCCCCGATTTGACACCATGAAGCCGAGGAACTTGCCCGAACCGACCCCGAAAGCACATTTTTGGGGGTTGAGCTTCATGTTGTATTTCCTCAAAATCTCGAACGTTTCCTGCAAATGGGTCAAATGATCCTCTGCACGTAGGGACTTAACTAGCATGTCATCAATATAAACTTCCATTGATTTACCTATTTGTTCTTCGAACATTTTATTCACTAGATGTTGGTAAGTAGCCCCTGCATTTTTTTAGCCAGAAGGGCATCATATTATAACAATATGTTCCATATTTTTTGACAAATGAAGTTTTTTCCTGGTCTTCTGGGCTCATCTGGATTTGATTATACCCGGAGTAGGCATCGAGAAAAGTGAGGATCTCATGGCCGGCCGTGGCATCGATCATGCGATCAATGTTGGGCAGCGGAAAAGAATCTTTGGGGCATGCTTTGTTCAAATCCTTATAGTCCTCACACATTCTAAGTTTGTTCCCTTTTTTAGGCACTACAACTACATTGGCTAGCCATTCGGGATATTTCACCTCCCGAATGGATCTTATCTTGAGGAGTTTAGTTACCTCGTCCTTTATGAATGCGTGCTTTACCTCGGACTGTGGTCTTCTCTTTTTCTTTACCGGTCTGAACCTAGGTCACTACAACTACATTGGCTAGCCATTCAGGATATTTCACCTCCCTAATGGATCCTATCTTGAGGAGTTTGGTTACCTCGTCCTTTATGAATGTGTGCTTTACCTCAGACTGGGGTCTTCTCTTTTGCTTTACCGGTCTGAACCTAGGGTCCAAGCTTAGCCGATGCATCGTTATGTCCGATGGAATCCCTATTATATCTAAATGGGACAAGGCAAAGCAATCAATGTTATTGATAAGAAATTGAATAAGTTTCTTCCTGAGTTCGGGGCTCAACCCCGTACCCAGGTATACCTTCCGTTCAGGCCAGTGTTCGATTAGTGTGACTTGCTCCAGTTCCTCAATCGTTGATTTGGTGGCTTCGGAGTCATCGGGAATCACGAAGGATCGATGGATCCTCTGATCATCATCCTCTTCGATCTTCTGGTTATCTGGTTGGGTCAAAGCCGATGTCTGTGATTGCTATTTGGTATCTCGTTCCCCTTCCGAGCCCGATCCCTTTGCTGGCGAAGGCGAGGATATTGGTTTCGCTTCTTCTATGGCGAACATTTCTCTTGCGGCTGGTTGTTCTCCGTACACCGTTTTGACTCCTCTCGATGTTGGGAATTTGAGGACTTGGTGTAGGGTCGAAGGTATAGCTCTCATGTTGTAGATCCATGGCCTTCCGAGAAGGGCGTTGTATCTCATGTCGCCTTCGATTACGTGAAACTTCATTTCCTGGATGGTTCCGGCCACATTTATTGGTAGATTTATCTCGCCTTTGGTGGTTTCACATGCCATATTGAATCCGTTTAGAACTAGGGTTGCGGGTACGATCTAGTCCTGCAGACCAAGCTGTCTTACGACCCTCAATCTGATGATGTTGGCCGAGCTACCAGGATCAATCAACACACGCTTAATTTTAGTTTTATTCATGAGTACGGATATTACCAGTGCGTCATTATGATGTTGTATGAATCCTTCTGCATCTTCATCACTGAAGGACAATATTCCTATGGGTGTGTAATCTTGAGTTCGAGATCGCTTTTCTCTCACAATCGACGTCTTAGTGCATTTAAGCACTAGTTCCTGAGGGGTATCGGCTCCGTCGATGATCATGTGAATGACGTGCTGTGGTTCTTCTTGTTCGATGTGCTTGCCGAAATCCCTGTTTTCAAAATGGCTCTTCGCCCTATCGTTCAAAAATTCTCGAAGGTGCCCTTTGTTGAATAACCGGGCTACTTTCTCTCTTAGTTGCCTGCAATCTTCCGTTCTGTGGCCATGGGTGCTATGATATTCGCACCTTTGATTGGGATTCCTCTGGGCAGGATCGGTCTGCATGGGTCGAGGCCATTTAGTGTCTTTTATGCGTCCAATAGCCGATACGATGGCGGATGCATCAATGCTGAAGTTATACTCTGATAACCAAGGTGCTTCCTTAGATTCGGCAGGCCTATCGAACCTACTTCTGTTCATCAGACCCCGGGACCCTTGACCTCGATCATTTCTTTTGTTATTTTGCCTGAGGTTATGTCTCGATTCAGTGACTCTGTGGCTTCCGTTGTATGGTTGGTATCGATCCCCGATCGGACCTCGTTCTCGATTAGTATCGAACAACAGGTTCAGACCCCAATTGATCATCTTCGACCCTAATTTTTGATTGATATCGATTGTGCACGTCAGCCCACGTGATGGCTAGGTATTCGATCAGGTTATGCTTTAATCGCCGTGAAGCCGTCAAACTTCGTTCGTTCAAACCTTGAGTGAAAGCCTGAACAACCCAATCGTCTGTGACTGGTGGTAAGTCCATTCGTTCCATTTGAAAACGAGATACGAACTCCCTCAGCATCTCGTTATCCTTTTGCCTTACCTTGAAGAGGTCTAATTTCCTTGTTGCGACTTTTATGGCGCCGGCATGTGCTTTCACAAAAGAATCTGCTAACATGGCGAATGAGTCGATGGAATTTGGTGGTAGGTTGTGATACCAAATCATTGCCCCTTTCGAGAGGGTCTCTCCGAATTTTTTTAACAACACAGATTCGATTTCATCGTCTTCTAAATCATTGCCCTTGATGGTGCATGTGTAAGAAGTAACGTTCTCGTTGGGAACGGTCGTTCCATTATATTTGGGAATTTCGGGCATACGGAGTATTTTGGGGATTGGTTTTGGGGCTGCGCTCGAGGGAAAAGGTTTTTGCACGAATTTTTTCGAATCCAACCCTTTTATCATTGGTGGAACTCCCGGGATATGATCGACCCTAGAGTTATAAGTTTCTACTTTTTTATCGTTGGCTTCGACTCGCTTTGTGAGTTCCTCGAGCAATTTAGCAATTTTGGGAGTAGTTCCCGATTCTTGCTCATTTGACTTCACTATGGTTGGCTCCGTTCTGTGGGTGATTTCTTGATGTGAATTGGGCTCCGGCCTGCTTTGTAACTGGGTTTGGCTCTGCAACTGAGCTATTGCTGCCCGTTGGGCTTGCAACATTTCGAAAATCACACGCAAGCTAACATCGTTTTCCTCTACGTTGTAGGTATCTCGAGCCGCAGACCGAGTGCCACCATAGATGCTATTCTCGGGTTCAGCATGTAGGTTTGCCTCAATGGCTATATGCGAATTGATGTCTATTGGCGCTTCGATTCGAGCTCCAAAGGCGTGTACAAGTGGTCTTTCAATACCGGGTGTCAAGTTGTTATATTCGTCTTGAAGACCGGCCCCGTTGTCAATTGGTGAAGCCATTTGATTGATGGTTAGTCGTAGCTAATCCGAAATTTAAGATATTTTTGGAGACAAGCGCAAAACACAATGGCATATTTTTTTCATATTCGTATCAAATAACCACTGTTATCCTTAGCCCCACGGTGGGCACCAAACTGTTTACCCGAAAAATGGGATAACGTTAAATTTGTGTATGGTTCTAAGGATATGCGATACAATTTGATATTAATCGTATAAAAAAATAGAAATATGTGTATTTTTGACTATGAGAATAAAAATAGTGAGCAAAAAGAATGAATAAGATAAAGTAAAACAATCACAAGTGAATCTCTTTCAATATGAGAAGTGATCTTTTTGTTACAGTGTATGAGCTACCCGTATGCTTACAAAGATTCCCCTTTTTATAGTAGAAGGATCCTACTTTATTTATAATAAAATAAAACATATAGTGGAGGTCCCATGATGAATTGTCTCTTCTTTGATTCCCGCCAAAATTCTCTCCCTTAGTGCAGTTGTAACGGCTCTTGTCTGCGAGCTCGATACTGGCTCGAACTCGTTATTGGGTCGAGCCCTCGGCTTTGGCTTGAGTTCGACCTTCGAAGTGGGCGTAGCGCATTTCCGACCATCCTCATATTACCCTGCGGGTTGATTTAGTCATGGGCTCGATAATAGTATCGAGCCGACTCCTCGATCAGCCTTCGGACTCGAGGCTCGTTTGTACTGTCTTCGGAACTCATCCCAAAATCCCACTCCGGTTGCTTACCATTCGAACTCGATCGAACGTAGGAAGGCCGAAATCTATTTCGACCGTATACACATGCCAACTTTATTATGTTACTACATTCTTACCATGATTCCATCACTAATTATTTGAACGCACAAAAGAAAGAAGATTAAAAAGAAAAAGAAGTCAATATATGTAATATATATATATATATCCCTCCTCAAAAACTTTCTTTACTCCAGAAAAGTTAGTTGCAAGTGGTCATAATGTTAAGAGTTAAAAACGAGGGCAAGTTCTAATTAGAAAGTGTTAAACATAAGTTAACACAAGCCCTCACTTTCTTTGCACTGCCTTCTTCATAAAAGTAGCCAAATTTATCCAATATTAGCTCGAATTCTATGGTATAGAACGACGAACGTCGTAATAATAACAGGGCCATAATACACTATTAATGCATAGTTTCAAAAGCAATTTGCTCGCTTCTCAAAAAAACAAGAGTTTTTGTAAAAGATTTCGAAAAGGCAAGAACGTAACTAACTAAAATGAAACAAAAAGTATAACATAATACAACATATATATATAAGAATTAAGAAGCTAAAATTACATGATATGAACCCATGAATTGAAGAATTCCAACTTGGGATTGCAAGAAGTTAATATATTTATAAGCAGCTTGAAACATCTCAGCAGTGTTCATCTTTTGCCCACCAGGAATCAACTTCCCAAGCTCCTGTGTCTTCTATGTTATTTTCTTTCTCCTTTGCCTTGCCGCAATGCTCTGTGCTGACAAATTCTTCTCATTACATTTCTTCACACTACTCACCTTAGCCTCTAAGGCATTTTCGCTTCTGTAAACTGGCAAACATGGAAATTCAGGTAGCGAAAATGACGTTAAATCTTCCAACATTGGAGGATTTGGCACAAACTCATTGAAATAATTGTTAGTGATTTCAAGGCAACAGTTATTTTGAAAGAACTTTTGGCGTTTCGGGCAGCTCTGAAAATTATTCAATTGTTGGTATGAATTTACTTGGACAAGTTGGATTGGTGTGCAGTTATTGAATTTAAAATTGGCTAGTAATAACATTTCAAGCTTTTAAATGTGGACCAAGACCTTTTCTTAGAAGGCATTTCTGTTCTAATGTCTTAAAGGGAAAAAGATTTTCCACATATTTCTTCAAATCAAAGGAATCTCTTTCACAAGATAACATAGTATAGTATAGGTTAGGAAGAAGTCTAGGGAGAAGAATAGATCAACTAAACCTAATAGAGGCTACACTACAGGAAGCATCAAGAAATTCAAATGCAATGATGAACCCTGCTTCCAGAAACAGCACAAGAATTCTCAACAGAAACTTAAAAAACAAGTACTAATAGTAATAGTGATGTATTTGATCCAATAGAGGCACCGCTCTTTCATTTCTCTAGTGTTGGACTTAAATTCAAGTTCCTTATGCCAAAACAACAAATAACTGGAACACGGTTCAAAATGCACAGAGACAAAAAGGAGTTCTAATCCTGCAAAATTTCAAATCTCTCTCAAGATTTATATATAAGTATAGGGTATCAATTTATGTCTCGGTGGCTATTGTAGCAAACAAAAGAGAGGTGACAAATAACACTTGGCAATTTTTATACCTTGCTAAAAACAAGCACGAAAATTGCATCTACAAGATTGAACAACCAAAAGAACAAACTTGAGGATGGAATACTAAAATAAAGCCCATCAAGGTCTAAGATTCATCTTCACCAGACCCTTCTCTTTCTTTTCCTCTTATCCTAAACCTCCCTTCCCCTTCGCATTACTATGAGAATTTGTAAACTCAAACCACCCCCAAAAACGACCTCAATGGCCGACAATGGAAGAAAACTTACCGGAGATGGAGAGGAGTCTGAGTGCCGACGATGGCCGCTTATTGCCGCAGCCGACGACGATGGCCGCTTGGATTGAGTGCCGACGACGCCGGTGAAGCGGGGATTTGCCCTAGAAGCAGTGAGGCGGAGTGTTTAATTTGGTCAATGTATATTCTTATGTTTAATGAAGCGGGGATTTCACATCTCTAAAGTTTATGTTTATGTTTAAGCAGGGAGGCGGAGTGCTTATTTGTTAACCAAATTAATTTATGTTTAAGTTTGGTTAAGTAATTAGCAAACATGTAATTATATAAACCAAAATTAATGACCAATAATTTTGGTGTGATTATCAATTTATAAGCTAATTAATTATCACTGATACACTTCTACGTAATGTAATTATCAATTTACAATGTAATTGAACCTAACATTACTTAAGGATACTAGCTAATTAATTATTAATATTAATTAACGATACAATTAATATATTTCTACTTACTTAAGTTATCAATTTAAGATAATTAAATAATCACTAAGATTTTTCACGTATATCATTAATAAACTTCTATTTAGTGTGTAATTATCAATGTATAGGCTAGTGCATCACTAACATTACTTAAGGATATATATATCCTTAGTGCGTACACTTCTACTTAGTGTAATTATCAATATCTATAAGCTAATTGTAACTATTACACTTCTATACTTATGTAATTATCAATAAATTATCTAATAAATTATTAATATTAATTAACGATATTGCTAATATAGTTTTACTTACTTTAGTTGTCAATTTAAGATAATTAAACAATTACCAATATTTGTCGGTATACCATTAATAAACTTCTACCTAGTATGTAATTATCAATGTATAGGCTAGTGCATCACTAACATTACTTAAGGATATATCCTTTGTGCGTACACTTCTACTTAGTGTAATTATCATTATCTATAAGCTAATTATAACTATTACACTTCTATACCTAATGTAATTATCAATGAATTGCCTAATAAATTACTAATATTAATTAACGATATTGCTAATATAGTTTTACTTACTTTAGTTGTCAATTTAAGATAATTAAATAATTACCAATATTTGTCAGTATACCATTAATAAATTTCTACCTAGTGTGTAATTATCAATGTATAGGCTAGTGCATCACTAACATTACTTAAGGATATATCCTTAGTGCGTACATTTCTACTTAGTGTAATTATCAATATCTATAAGCTAATTGTAACTATTACACTTCTTGCTTAAAGTAATTATCAATGAATTGCCTAATAAATTATTAATATTAATTAACGATATTGCTAATATAGTCTTACTTACTTTAGTTGTCAATTTAAGATAATTAAACAATTACAAATATTTGTTAGTATGCCATTAATAAACTTCTACCTAATGTGCAATATCAATGTATAGGTTAGTGCATGACTAACATTACTTAAAGATATATTCTTAGTACACTTCTACTTAGTGTAATTATCAATCTATAAGATAATTATAACTATTACACTTATGTTTAGTGTAACTATCAATATATAGACTAATTAATTATTAACATTACTTAACGATACCACTAATAAACCTTTACTTACTTTAATTATCAATTTAGAGATAAACAATCACTAACATTTCTCACAAATAGCATTAATACACTTCCATTTAGTGTATAATTATCAATGTATAGGCTAATCAATCACTAACATTACTTATATAAGGATGCCACTAGTTCACTAATACTTAGTACTATTATCAATGTATACAGGCTAATATATCAATCACCAATATTACTTACAAATATATTATTAATACACTTATACTTCGTGTAATTATCAATCTACAAGCTAAATATAACTAATACACGTTTAATTAGTATATTATCAATGTGTATGATAATCAATTGTTAACGTTACTTAAGGACACCGTTAATACACTTCTACTTACAGTAATTATCAATTTATAAGATAAACCATCACTAATATTTCTTACGAAAAATGACTAATGCACTTCTTCTTAGTGTGTAACTATTAATGTATAGGTTAATCAATGTAGTTAAGGATATTACAAATTCACTTTTACTTAGTGTAATTATAAATTACTAAGCTAATTACCACTAATATATTTTTAAGTAGTGTAATTACCTCCACTTAGTGTAAATTTCAATAAATAGGCTATCAACCACTAAGATAATTAAGTAAATACTTATCGAGGGACTTACCGACGGCCTCCCTCGATATTGTGTAATAAAAAATACAAAATAATTATGTATAAGATTATATATTTAAATTACCGACGGAAGTCCATCGGTACTGTAAGAACAAAATTCAAAATATTATGTAAATGCAATAGCGATTGAGTATGTCAATAACTTTATTTTCTTTTTCATTTATTTTTTTAAAAAGCACCGAGAGACACCGTCGGTACTTAAAAAAATAATTCAAAAATATAAATACAAAATGTTCCGAGGGAGTCCGTCGGTAAATTACCGACAGAGTGCATCGGTACAACCAATTAAATTTTGACCGGTCAATATATCATTATTTACCGAGAGTTGTCCGTCGATTATTTTTAAAAAAAATTAGAAATTAAAAAGTTCAAAAGTACCGAGGGACTCCATCGGAAAGTCCCTCGGAATACCGACGGAACCGTCGGTACTGCTGCGTCGGTAATTAAACAGCTGTTTTTTTAGTAGTGTTGTCATATCATGTTGAGCTCTAAACTAAAGTGCTGAAAGAACATTGAGCAACTATATATGGTAAAAGCGTACCCGCTTTCTTTAGTTAGATTATGATATCCAAAAGAAAATACGTCATATAGTAAATGGGCAAAAGGCATTTAGGAAATATTACCAACTTAAAAACTTTTCCAAAACAAAATGGGTTTCCCTGAGGCATAATCCATATCGAAATAGGATTCCCAGGGAAATTCCATATATTACTCTTATTAGGTTGTTCCTTGTTAAGCCGTTAATATTCTGTCTCTTGTAGTTTCAAGAACTCAAGCCCACGACTTTGTTCTCCTTGTTTCTTACTACTACTTTTGAGATATGAATTTAGGCATGGATTTAGAATCATTGTTTCTAAACCATTTTGCCATAGAGAAGAAGCCAGATATAATTCAGTTGATTAAAGCAGCTATACAAGTTGGTGCATGGAAGCAGCCTACAAAGTTTAAGAAGCACAAAGATGAAATACTAATGATGTTGCTGAATCCGGAAACACCAGGTGACATTGATGAAATCGACAGTGCTAGTGATACAGAAGAAGATGAAGAAGAAGAAGATGAAGTAAGCGATAGTGGTGGTGTTGAGTTCTCTGTTGATTATCTCCACCAGACGGAGAAGAGTTCTTCTTCTTGGTTTCAAGAAACTGGCCATATTCTTGGGCGACAAGGGAACTACAATGTCAGTAAGGCCAAATCTACTGTATTTAAACTAAGTTTAAAGAAGACTCGGGACATTGACGACAAGCTTCAACACAAACATGTTGATAGTGATAAAGAAAAGAAGACAGAAGTAGGGAAGTGTCTGTCCGACAGTACAGAAAGCAAGAACATGAGTTGTGTCACGGGATCGGCAACCAAGAATTCTCCTGGAGGTTTAAGGAAGCTGAACGAGGGTATCAACCGCGTAGAAGAAAAACAAGATTGTTCCTCACAGAAGGTCAAGAGGAGGCTTGAGGGAGGAGGGAAGTTACAGAAACAGAGAAACTGCAGTGCAATTACAAGACCAAATCAGAAAACAACACAAAACTCTACAGTTGCAAGACCAATGCAAAAACCAGCACTAAGCTCTACAGTTGCAAGACCAACGCAAAAGCCAGCACAAAGCTCAACAGTTAGAAGACCAACGCAAAAACCAGCACAAAGCTCAACAGTTGGAAGACCAACCCAAAAACCAGCACAAAGCTCTACAGTTGCTACACCAACGCAAAAACCAGCACAAAGCTCAACAGTTGGAAGACCAACCCAAAAACCAGCACAAAGCTCTACAGTTGCTACACCAACGCAAAAACCAGCACAAAGCTCAACAGTTGGAAGACCAACGCAAAAACTAGCACAAAGCTCTACAGTTGCAACACCAACGCAAAAACCAGCACAAAGCTCTACAGTTGCAACACCAACGCAAAAACCAGCACAAAGCTCTACAGTTGCAACAGCAATGCAAAAACAGCACAAAGCTCGACAGTTGCAAGACCAATGCAAAAAATAACACAATCCGGAATGAAGTTGAATCAAGTAAAAGAAAATTTGAGGAAAGGGTTGCTGAGGAAAAAAATGCCAAGAGAAGGATCATAATGGTGGACTTTCATGATGTGCCGAAACCAGCTAAAGATCCTTCTGCTCCCAAACGCTGCTGGGATAGGAGAAGGAGGTTTTAAGATTCTGATTCCATTTGTTGTAAATTCCCTATCATGAGAATCTTGTTTCTTCTGTTTTGTCTTTAAATTGTAGACAGAATTATAATTCACTCGACTATTTTATAATGGGGAAGTTATGTGATATACTCATTTGTAGAACTCACTTTCATGGTATACCTAAGTTTTAAAATTATATCATATATCTCAAAATTATTACACGCTATACCCCCATATATTCCAAAACATATCACGATATTCTATTTTGGAATACAATCCAAACCTAACTTACCGTAATATTCTAATTTAGAATACAATATTCTAACTAAACAGGCCATAATATTTTAATTTGGAATATAATATTCAAACTAATGATACCACAATATTCCAATTGAAAATCCAAACATAGCTTACCATAATATTCTAATGAAGAATACAATATCCAAACTAAACATACCATAATATTCTAATAAAACATACTACAGTATTCTAATTTGGAATACAATATTCAAACCAAATATATTATAATATTTTAATTTGAAATACAGTATCCGAACCAAACATACTACAACATTTTAATTTGGAATATAGTATCCAAAGCAAATATGCCATAATTTTTCTAAACATGCTACAATATTCTAATTTGGAATACAATTCCAAATTAAATATATCACAATATTCTAATTTGGAATATACAGTATTATATTTTAGAATAAAGCAGGTATACATGGTAAAATAATTTTATAAAATAGGTATTGTATATGGTGTTAACTAATGTTTTCAATGGGCATACCAAGTAGATTCCCCTTTTATAATTACTCCTGGGTATATGCCCTTTGTATATGTGAACTAATATCAAATCATTGAAATAATAGTTACAATTTCAAAAAAAGTGTTGTTCAAATGCTTGAAGGATCTATTATTCAGTACCTGTTCAGATTATTCAGTTACTAATTAAGGCTAGGATTTTGTTACCGCGTCTACTACTGCTACTACTACTTTACAGGCTTTTTTGTTTTGGGTTAATGCTTTAAATATGAGTATTACTTTTATCTTTTAATCTGATTCTTAGTGGACATTTCAGAACTCATTATCATCTGACTCTTAGTTTGGTCCTGCTTTCACTTACACTGGTGCATGCAATCAGGATGGGATTTGAATCTGCTAAGCTATATAAATTCAAACATTCCAGCATCAAATAAGCACAGAGCTACACTAGTTACTAGTCGTTTTAGGCATACATGCTACTCACAAGACATTCCTTTCAATAGATTTTTGAGTAACAAAGTATATGACTGTAGCACATTAGTACTGCTTATCCTAATAGGTTAAGTTTAATGGTTCCATCACTTTTGCTATCACATAAGAAGTAACAAACACTCACTCTGCAAGAAGCACACTTAGAAGTGAAGAACATTATATGTCGAGAGTTCCCAGAAGAAATAAAAATAAACTGATTTTCTTACTTGATATGCCGACTATTGCCCTGGTCCGAAATGTGTTTATTACTTAAGTTTCAATATGGAAGGATCCAAATAATAAAATGATGGCATGCACTTAAAACTGTAGTAATAAATTCATAATTAGGAAGATTGTCCAAGTAGCAATTCCAAAATGAACAAAAGTTGAAGCAAATAATGAATGGAATAAGTTTTACTGTCTGTGCTGCTGTTTGTTGCAGGAAAATCAAGACGAAACTATAATCCTTAGGTTTGTTCATACTACATCTAATACAGGGGAATCCTTTTTCAAAGCATGTTTCTTATACGGAGCGTGTTCCATTGAGAAATTATTATACCCTTCTAATATGTCAAAATGTAAAATGATGGACCTGTATATTTCCTACATTAGGATATAAGGAGATAAAATTTTACGTCCTCTTTCATGTTCTAACTTTTTTGGATACATATACTGGTAGATGCCCATGCCAAACTCCTCGATTTAACTAAAAAAGAAAAAGGTACACAGATAACATCAAAGCTACAAGAATGGATAACAGCTGAATATATATGAAGTTATTGAGCAAACTATGACAATTTATTGGCTATTTTAGTTAATGAAACAACATGAGGCACATTGAAGCTACAAGAATAGTATAAGGGAGTGTGTCTCACAATATTAATTAGTCATAAGTTCAATTAGGAAATGGAGGCATTGGGATTTCAACAACCCCTTCCAACATATGTACTACCCTTCTCATGGAGGGCCTGACATTTGGATCCTCTTGAATGCACCAAATCGCCACTTTTACAAGCTTCTCCAGCTGCTTCATGTCGCTTAGTGCCTCTTCATCGTCTTTTACTAGCTTATGTAGCGTTCTTGAGTGGATACAATCATAGACCCACTCGATCAGTAGTATTTCCTCTTCATTCTCCATAGCGATGTCCATACACTTCCTGCAACAAATGGTTTCTAGCAAAACGATGCCATAGCTATAAACATCCACTTTGGCAGTCACAGCTGTGTTCCTGAACCATTCTGGTGCAACATAGCCTCTGGTCCCTCTAATCCCCGTTAGTGTCCGAGTTTGATCCTTCATCAAAAGTTTTGCCAATCCGAAATCAGAGATCCTTGCTTCAAATGAATCATCCAGCAGGATGTTTTGAGGCTTTATATCGCAATGGATGATCTGTGTGCTGCACTCCTCGTGCAAATACGAGATTCCTCTTGCAACCCCATATGCAATTCTGATTCTTTTGTTCCATTGTTGCCTTGACTGACTGAAAAGGAAGTCTGCCAAGGAGCCATGGCTCATAAACTCATAGACCAAAAGCTTCTTTTCTGGTCCTTCATCACAGAATCCAACCAATCTCACCAGATTCTTGTGATGAGTCCTGGCTATTACACTGGCTTCTGTTTTGAATTCGTTCTCACCATCATTTGCTAGCTTGTCTAGTTTCTTGACAGCTACAACTGTTCTTGAATTAGAAGATGACAACTCTCCTTTATAAACTATGCCGAAAGCACCCCTCCCAAGTTCTAGCTTGAAACCATTTGTTGCTACCTTAAGCTCTTGGAAAGTCAAGTTTCTCAAATTTGTCTCGGGGATGCTTGATGAACCAACACATCGTGGTCTTCTGCAGTAAATGCCAAAAAAGCAAAGTTGAAAAAGGCAGAGGTGCCAAGGAGAACTGATCCCAAGATGGAAAATGCTGACTTATCTTTCTTCCCATTTCCCCTTTCTGATGGTGAATATGGGAAATCACCGGAGGGGATACTAGATATCAACACTTTAACAAAACCCTTGCCGTCAACCTCTTCCCTCCTTCCATTAGAAACTGGCATCTTCTTTTTATGACAGGTTCCCGATTTTTCTACTGCAACCACACAATTACAGTCATACAAACAAGAGTTCCGGCATTGATCTTGATTAAGGGACTCCATTACCTCATAGTTTGCAGAATTAGGCCAAAATATGTTATCTAAAGGGTACATATCATACAGATCTTCCGGATTAGTATCATCCAAATTGCATCTTTGGATTGGATCGCGTTCACAACCCTTGAACTCATTGCTTGGATCAGAAAAGTTAAATCCGGGAAGACACTTACAATTTGGCCTTCCATTTGAGTTAAGCATGCAATAGCTATTGAAACCACAAGTTCCTAGACCAAATTGACCCTGAATGGCTGAGCAGATATCATCTGGTTTAGACCAAACTGTGAACCAGCTCCCCTCCCACTTTCCGTTTTTTGGCACCCTGGGATGAGCATATTGAGTTAACACACCATCATATTCAAGAATAACCCTGTAATAGTAGTTTCTTGCTGGAACAATATTTCCAGAAGTTATATTCACAATCCTACTGCTGGTCATAATAATATAAAGGTAACCAGACTCATTAAAGATTAGCCTGTTTCCCGTCACATTAGGATATTTTGTATCAACCGTGTGGCTCCAAAAGTATGCCTCGTATGCATTTCCTGTTGGCAGTGCAAAGGTGTTGAGCACAAGATTGCCATCGGGTATCAAACGAAGCTCAAAGTGCCCCCTCGAGAAGTTATTCTCTGCTGTCCTAGAAGACAGTGACTTTTTAGTGTCAATTATTTGTGTAGGCAAGATTGTATCACAAGGGTGGTCAAAACTTTGCCACACAAGACTAGAATCGCTGCTAGCAAGGATGAAATTCCCTGTATCCAACAACGAAGCATAAGAAACGCCTATGTCTCTAATAAGACTTGGTCTCCAGAGGACTTTACCATCTGGATTCTCAAGAATGAGTTCACCATCTGTTTTAAGCTCAAGTTTAGATCCTTCTGGGGCTAGCTTATCTCCATTTGCATACCAAACCAATGTTTTGTTTGGTATTTTGTCGAACCAGATAGCAAGCAAGTACAGTTTTTGACCTTCTATTTGATGAAAGCCAAAGGCAAAGTCACCAGAAGGTGATTGCCATGCTAGAGAATTAACTGATGCAACAATGGACGACCCAAGAGTGATGTTTCTATTACTACTAGAATTAGTAGCCTGCGCAGATGCAACCAATGGTGCTGTTAGGAAAAGAAGAAGAAAACCAAGAAGGTGCAGAAGATGGTTTCCCATATGGGGTTTTAGATCATCTAACTGAAATTTTTTGACTAGTACAAGTGAGTAACTGATAGAGGTTTACCCAGTCTATATTATGTATTGCCTTGTAACGCGTTATTCCTACATTGACATTTGAACGAACCAAAAAACCACGGCATTTTAGTCTTCCTATTTATTTCCAGAAAATGGAGTCATTATACTCCTATACTAATCTAATGTTTCTTTCGGGAAGATAAGAAAGACTTTGAATTTTCAACTGAGAAGTCAACTGACACGTTTCACAGATCCACATACGCTTACCCTATCGAAATACCCTTCCAACTATAAGAGGGACTGATACATCATTATTCCCTTTTATCTTTTTAAAATGATAATGGTGTCGAACCAAATTGCACGCACCCCGACTATTTCAGCGGGAACCTGCTATCTCCTACTACCACAGACAACTCTACAAACGTTTCTACTGGATTTGAACCTTGGTCTGTCGTGCTTTTCTCCCACTTCATTGACTGTCATTACCTTTAGGTGCCATATACAAACCTTATTCTCTTTACTCTACATTTATCTGCTAGCATGTATCATGCTTGACTGAATTTCCTCTGATTCCAGCAACAATAATCTCCTTTGTAACAGAACAAGAAGATGAGCAACACAGCAAAATAATATATAATAATCAAATGGGGACAACAAATAAGCTAATGGATATGATAATAGGTTCAAAATCTACACAAACAATCAACAGAACAAAACAATCGGACCAGTGTTGTTTTACATCCTCTCAACTCATTTTCTCGTATTCATTCTTCCCGAAACACATTCTTCTATAATAGGAGGATCTTGTAAAGGAAATCGTTAAACTGACTACCTTCCCGGTCTAAGTTTTAGCTATATCATCTTCTAGAAACCTGCCCATCCAGCAGGTTGGGAAGCTGATTTGCTATTTACATTCTTTGGTTCACCGAAACGCTGAGAATTTTTTGACTCATTGAAAGTAGCCTTTATCTGAGAGCTGGAAGCTGGCACAGCCCTAAAGCTATCTGTTCCAAATCCTGATGTATTTGTTTCAGATGTCTGTCTGTTCTGGTGGCCATTTTTTGTCCTGACTGATCTAGGATTAGCATTAACTGAAGTAGGTTGTTGCTTTGGATCATCATCAGCAAATGCTTGCCAGGGCTTTGAATCTGGGCTCACTTGACTCCCGCCAAATAATCCTTGCTCAAGTTCCCATACTGTTCCTTCAATGTTAACTTTTCTCTGCATCAAAAAATTATTTTGAACTAATAATTATTGAAAATCAATTATAAATATTAGTACTAACAATGAGAGTTTAATAGCAAAGGATATACCGGTGGTGGAATACTGGATGGTTGACTTCCAGGAGAAGCTTGATCCCTCGCGGTGTCTCGATTTAGTGATGGAGTACTGACAGCAAGAGCTTGTTTAAGCTCTTGTATTTCCTGTCGCTGTGACCGGCATATTCCAGATAACTTTTCAAATTTAGATGTTATTTCAGCCTTCTCCATGTTGGAGCGTGACAATTGTTCCTTCAGCTTCTCAACCTCTGCTTCCAAGAGCTCTTTCTTCTCTGCTTGTTTCGTGTTATTTCCAGGGCTTGGTTTATTGGTAGAGAATTCTGCAACAAAAGCATTGAATGCTTCACCCTGGGTGACAGTTGGCCCCTCTAACTTTGAAGATTTATTACTCCCAACACTCTGACATGAATCATCCTGGAAAAAGTTTATTTCAAAATCCTTTGATGAGGCTTCCCCTGCTCTATTAGCTGGTTTTGCTCGCACATTATTTTGCATTGGATGGGAACTGAGACTTTCCTCTTTAGAGGGGCTAGTTTTATAAGAGACTGGAACCTTATTGGGATGACTTTTATCATGGCTTGAAGAATTGTGTCTAATCTCTTCGTCAAATTTGGGTCTGGATGTTTCCTCTGAACCAGAGGCATTTGCTGCATGCTGAGTATTCCAAAATGCACCGATTGGACCAGTAGCTCCACCAGCTTTTGAATTATGTGATGCAGGAGACACATTCGGATTAGATTCTGCAGCCGAAGGAGGTGGTGGAGGATTTCTGCGAGGCATTGGACTAGTCTTACCTGCAGCTCTTGGAAATCCTGAAAATTCAGCAGGTATTAGATTCCTTGAAGTGGACCAACAATTTTGTGNAAAAAACCCCAACAGAGGAAAGATGTGGAAGCATCACTCAAATATTTCAACTGTACAGTAAATATGGAAGCATATAAACAGCTAATCTTTTTGTATAGATTTGAGGGTATCATTCCTCAAAAGCATTATCTTACCTTTCATTAGTTGCATTGCTTTTTCAATTCTATTACAACTTCCAAAAATGTTTTTTCAACTTCGACTTCAAAAACCCTTTTTTCCTCAGCTTCAACCAAATATTGTCCCCAACACCTACTAAAAACTTCAGATGACTTCAAACCAGAACCAGAAAAGGAGACTTAAGATTTTATAAAACTGATGGAATGAATTTAGATGAGGGAAATTGGTTCTTTATTTCGTATAAATTAGTGGGTTAAATGAGTAAATTGCCTGAGTGCAGTAATTTATCCAAAGTTATCATCCTACAAACTTCATGGATAAAATATTAATCAATCACAACTTTCCTGGAAGCAGCTCACAATAATAACGAAAGGTCTGGAATAAAATGTCCTCACCTTCCTGTCCATCAATACCCTGTTGCTTCATTTCAGGGGGTCTGTCGGGTAACGACTTTTGAAGCTCATCCGGCAACATACCATTAACACGGAACCATACCTGCCATAAAACAAAATGAATGAGTTAGAAAGCTTTAGAGAAGGGTCAGCCCTTATGATTGCTATGGGCAGCACCACTCTACAACTAACCTAAGTTTATGCAGATGAATGGCCAATCAAGCAAAGCGCTTGCCTGCGTGATATCTGGTCTGGCATCTGGTGAAGACTGAAGCATATCTCTTGTTAGGTCTACGATGGAAGTGCTATATTTTGGTAATTCTGGAATCCGGTAATTGCCATTTAAAACTTGAAGTTTTGATTCACCATCAAATGCAGACTTGAAGTAGCATATCCGAAAGAGTAGACAGCCAAGGGCCTGCAAGACAAAAGTGTCACTGTGTTCTAAGATAACCTCGTAAAATCTAGGTAAGAGAAATTTCTGTTTCCAAAATCATCTTACAGTATCTTCACGCGGCTAAACTTACCCATATGTCTACCTTCTCATTTATAAGTTCTCTTCGATACAAATCCCACATCTAAGGCAAGAAAAGAAGTGAGATAAGATAGAAGTCAGCAATCAATACCACTGACGATAACAATAATCAATAACAAGTCCTCAATCAACCTCAGGAGCTCTGTATGCAGGTGTAGTGTGTTTCCTTATATTGTCCTCCTCAATTCCCATTTCCTCAGGTTTCTCAAAACGCTTGTGGTTGGTTGAAGTACTGCCAAAGTCACACAACTTCCACAATCCATCAGCACCCAGCAAAAGGTTCTCAGCCTTTAAATCTCTGTAGGGCAGGAAACACAGTACTGAATAACAAAACGACAAAATCACAAGAGAAAATGATGTGAATAAATTCAGTGTAGAAGGGTGACGGTTTCGCAATGAATTGGATCTCTTAACTGTTCATTTTGGGCATCTAAATTCCTAAATCAACAGAACAATTAAAGCGGTCATTCAGTAGTAGGTCTGCGGACACTTTAAGCTGGACAGAAATCATAACTGACAGAAATCAAAGGCACTGAACAAAATTAAGCTGGAAGCAAATATATAAACAGATATGAATTACACGACAGCCTCTCTACCTTCATTAGGTAGGGGTAAGGTCTGCGGACACTTTGCCCTCCCCAGACCCCACTTGTGGGATTTCACTGGGCTTGTTGTTGTTGTATATGAATTACATAACATAAGATGCAAATTACTGAAATATTACAAGCAAAGAAAGGATTTATGAAGCCCTAAATCACTAAACAGATGAAACATATTGATGACTACCATAAACAAAGCCTAACCTCAACTGAAATTACTACAAACATTCATCATCATAATTTCAAAAAACTATTCGGGCTTAAGAGTGTCCGACTTTACCTGTGAGCTATGGGTGGGGACTGGCTGTGCATAGCAAAGACAGCATTGCATACATCCCTGAATATTAAGAGGACTTGTTTCTCCTCAAAGAAGCCAGCTCCTCGGTTCTCAAGGACACTGACCAAGGATTTCTCACAATATTCCATAACAAGGAGAGCTTCCTTTGTACGACCCATATCCAAGAAGGTATGCGCATTTAGTGTGACAATATTAGGATGACCCTTGAGCGATTTCATCACTGAAATCTCTTTCAGTACTAGATCAAGTAATTCTTCATCATTAACAATAATATGCTTTAATGCATACTGCTTTGAACCATGTAGTACATCTCGGGCTAAATAAACACAAGAGAATCCGCCCTCTGCAATTGCATTGCGCACATGAACTTTGAGACTGCCAATATCAATGGTGCGACCTTCAAGCCCAGCCTGTTCCTTGGGCATAAAAGGTTTGAATCTCCACATCATAAACAATTCTATCAAAAAGAAAAAAAACCACTAAGAATCATGGCAAAGATAAGAGATTTAGCTAAATAAACAGTCAAATTAAAATCTTTTCCCAGTAAAGTGAACCAGCTGTACAACCAATAAGAAAAACAAAAAAGCACATGTGCTTTAGGTGGTGTTTGGAGTCCTCCAAAAACTGAGTTTGGAAACCCAGGTATTGAGTTTTGGAAAAAGTGTTCTTTTGACTTGTTTCCAGAACAAATTTAACTTTATGTGAAGATTTCCAAATCTCTCAGTTTTTGCAAACACACCCAAACAAACACTTTTCTCAACGGTCAAAGCTGAATTTGCAAACTCAAGTTTGGAAAACCTCAAGGAAACGCCACCTTACAAATTTTTGATTATCCTAAATTGGATACCGATAACACTGCAGATATTTACATTAGAGAGGCACAAACAACGAGATTACGACGAAAACTTCACTCCTACAAATGCA